TATTTTTCCAATAATAGTTATAAAAAAAAGAAAAAAAAAACAAATAAGGTGATTTTCCTTCCATTCTTATTTCAGCGTCGTGTTGTTAATAAATTAAAAAAAAAAAGTGATTTTCTTTTTCATTAAAAAAAGTGATTTTCTTTTTCATTAAAAAAAGTGATTTTTTTTAGTTTATAAAATAACCTACAAAACTATAACATCCCTTAAGGAAAAAAATAAAATAAAATCGATTACGTCCCATTAATAAGTAAATAAAAGTACGTACTAAAAATAATAATAATGAAAAAAATAAATAAAGTAATATGCACCTTGTAGACCCAAATTTCCTCCATAAACTTTTTTTTTTAATATCATATCCCAAAGCTTGGGTAGAATTTCAATGTCAATAAAAATATTGAGATTTGAACTGAGAATGTCAATGTTAATAAAGAAGAGCAGATTTACAATTCAGGTTCGAGACCCTTAACTCCAGAATATACATATTATTGGATAGAAATTTGAGTTTGACTTGGCACAATGAGCCGCCCAATTTCGAATCCACGAAATGTCATTCTATCTTTTAAAATAATTTGTCTACCATTAACTAATGTTCAGGTTCAAATCTATCCACATACGATTTTTTTTTAGAGTAATTTTCTTCTTTAACTTTTAACGGGTGCAACAACCACCCTATTATTTTGAATTGGTCATTTTTTTTTCTCTAATTTTTATACATTTACATTTGTGGAGTCTTTGGTCCAATTATTTGCCACCGATTTTCTTATTTTTCTTTTCTATTTATACGTTGTTGGTGTATATAAGTTTACATAAATTATTATATCGATATCTTCTTTTCTTCTCTATAAATCATCCAATTTGTAAAAAATTGGATGATTTTTCTTTTATATAATTTTTAATTTGAGTTTTTGAGAGTTTAAAAAATCGACAATTTTGAGACTAATTTTTTAATAATTAATAATTATAATTATAGTTTTTGTTTCAGTTTGTTTTAGATCAAAATAGAAATTGATAAAAATATTTAAAAAAAATGCATCGTACAAAAAAATATTATTATAAATAAATAAAGTTTTTACTCATTATTTCAAGTTTCAATCTCTTTCTTTCCACTATATTTATATAGAAAAACCAATCATACTTTTCATGAACAAACTAACAATCAAAATAAGACTATTTAATAAATTGTCTGCTCCACCTTTTTATATTATCAAATCATTGCATAATAGTTTCAATCAATGACCAATCCAAAACTTTACACGGATACTAATACCTTCTTGTATAAAGTTTTGAATTCGTCACTGTTATTTTTAAATTAATAATTTAATTT